TGGCATAATATAAAAATTCCAGCTTCTTCGGTCTCAATGCCTCTGTCTCCTCTTTGTTGGTTATGGTCAATTACTGGAAATAACCTTACCCATCCGGCAACAATATCCAATGCATTGCATCAAAGCTGTAGGACAAATAGGTCCTTCTGGAATGGTCGAGCTTTCTTGCTTTATTAGCCTCCACATTGTTGCAATAATTCTGACTCAATTATTCAAATATATTTAATTCTATTAAAATTAATTTTAAAAAAAGGTAACCAAACATATTATGTTATAATATAATAAATTATAATTAAAATTAATTATATTGATTAATTATTTTTATAATCAATTATATGCAACTAAAATCTAAGTGGCCTCTTCCTCTTTCCAGCCAAAACAAAAAAACAAAATCAAAACTCCAAAGTAATAGGTACTTTAAATTTTCAAAGGACGGGTGTTTTTTTCATGGAAAATACTGTCCCTGGTTCAAAATATAAGATCAAATTAATTAATTCATAGACATTTTTTAAAAAAATTGTTAAGTTTGTTATTTGTTATTATAGTATAAAAGATGGACTAAGCAAGTGGGGATGGAGAGCGATGAAATAACATTAGAGGTTCCCAAGAAATCTTGGAATTGATGATTTAAGAAACGACGAAAACTACAACAATATTCCATTGTATCCTGCATCTACTGCACATTCTATTAAAAAATGTAAAATATTTTTAATTAAAACTCACCTTTCTAATAAATTAATTAACTATTTTTAAACTAACATTATCTTCTTTTATTTTTTTTATTTAATAAAATATTTTCTTAAAAATAAATATAAAATAACTTAGTTATCAAGAATATTTTTTTAAAAAAATACATTAATTACATTTTAAATATTAAAAATACTTAACATTTTTTTAATGGAGAGAGTACAAGTGATTTAAAATAATGATGGTCTTTTTATGGGTCAGTTTGTATAAAAAACAAATCATTAATTATTTTTAATAAGTGATAATTATATCTTAAGATTTGAAACATGACAAATAATTAATTAACTCATTAAAAATATAATTCAATTAATCAAATTAATACAGAACAGGAGGGAGGGAGGGAGGTTGTGAGTTGTGAGTGAATAATGGGGACAAGGAGGTGCTATGCTCACACATTAATGAAGTTTGGAAGCTTATGATTGTGAACGCCACTTCAAGCCCTCGCATTTCGTGTGAACTTGTTATGGCGCAATTAATTGCCTCGCCCTGCTTTCTCCATTTCCTTCGGTCCCGCCAACACACGCCCTCAAAGTCAAAACTGTGCAATCCAAGCTTCTCTATCCCAAATCAAACCTTTTTAAATGTTTCCCTTGTATTCTTTTTCATTCAAATTATAAGATATTTTTTTTATTTTAAATTATAAGATAATTTTAAATAAAATTTTATATACTAATAAATTTTATTAAATATACTTAACAATTTTATCTTTTTAAAATAAAAATATAAACTTTTAAAAATACTGATCATTTAATATATTGAAAAGAGAAAGAATATAAATTTATTATAGAGAGAAAGGGTAATGTTAAAATTGATGCATTTAATGAAACTTTAATTTACCTAAAGTGTCTTATATTTTAAAAAAGAAAAACTCCTTAAAAAATGCCCTGTAATTTGGGTAGTATTTTTAAATAAAATTATATATACTAATAAAATTTATTGTATACACTTTACAACCTTATTTTATTAAGGCAAAAATATAAAATTTTATAAAAATGCTATTCATTTAATATTCTATTTATGAAAGAATATTAAAGATAGAGAATATATAAAAAGGGTAATATTAAAAAATACTTTTTTTGTTCCAAATTATAAAATATATTTAGATAAAATCTCACATACCAATAAAGCTTATTAAATATATTTTATAATCTTATTTTTTTATGATAGAAATATAAACTTTCAAAAACGTCCTTTATTTAATACTCCATTAATAAAAGAATATTAAAGAAAGATAATATATGGAGAAGGGTAATATTAGAAAAGTATCATTGATGAAATATTTTTTTTAATCAAAGTGTTTTATATTTTGGCATATTCAATATTCTCTAAAAGTATCTTATAATTTAGAACGGGGGGAGTATCATCAATCAAAGCTTATTTTTTTAACACATTTTATATTTTGAAATGTTGAATCTCTCCTAAAAGTATTTTATAATTTAAAACGTAGATAGTATTACTTAACTCTCTAGCGATTATTCCATCACTATTTATTGATAAGTCCTTTCTTGCATGTTTTACTTCAAATTAAGAAAAATATTAAGTTTTATAAACTTTGTCCAAATATTCAACATGTTTTTAACTTTATCCATATTAAATATACACACTTTAAAAATAAAATATTTCATCATTTAATAATATTTACAACATTCAATAGGAAAAAAGGGTAAAAATGAACATAAAACCATAGAGGTGCCCTATAAATAAAAATAAAATAAATATTTTTTTAATTTTATTTATAAATCACTTTTAATATGTTTGACTAACATTATAAAAAAATTTAAAATTTATTAACTCTGTCCAAAAACTCAATAAATTTTTAATTTTACCCCTATTTTATATATATATATATATATATATCAATATCATATTTTCTCCCACCAATATTTAATTAAAGGTAAATTAAAAAATTGTAATAAAAATTTAGTAATCTAACTTATAAATATGACTTAAAAAAATTATCTCTCTATTTTATATATAGGAGTGGAGGAGATTATGTACTTTCTCTCTTTCCTATGAATAAGAATAGGGGAATATTTATATCACTGCTTTTAAGATCCTATTCACAGAAAAATTCCACTGCGTCTTATTTCTTTTACCATGAGTACAAGGAGTTAAATTTGTTGAATAAGTCATGATGCCAATTGTTTCATGATATATTAATCATACCAAGTATACAGAGTTGAGAACTGGTTTTCCTATCTAGATCCGAATGATCCAGATTTAAAGTGTTATTATATATTATATTTATTAAAATTATTTTATTTTAATATAATCTAAATTTAATTCAAAGAGTTTAATTTAGTATTAAAATTTTTATAATTAATATATATTGATTATCCATATGTACTCTGCACAATCCAGATTTAATTTGATTAAATTCGAATTGTGCAGAATACATCTAAATTATTAATATATAACAATTATAAAAATTATAATATTAAATTGAACCCTTCAAATTAAATTTAAATCAGATTAAAAATAAAAAATTATTAAAATTATTTTATAAATTTTATTTTAATGAATATAAAATAAAAATATATAATAACATATTAAAACTAGACCATTTAAATTAAAATTTAGATGGTTCAAATTTTATTACAAGATAAGCACCATGGTGCCCATTTATGTGATGAGTCTATAAAGTTGAGTTTCAATCAAATACACAAGGTTTGCACTGGCACGATAAAATAAAGCGACTTACCTTTTGATATATGATTATAGTTTTAAATTGAATGATAAGCATTTGATAGATCTGTCAAAATCTTCTATCAAATGAATTTTTATTCGTGGACTAATATGTACAGGCAGCCAAGAAGATACCTCCTCTTACAATTTATTTGGCTGTCAAGTTGATTTATGAAGTGTTATCGTACTATGTACACTTAATCTTGCACATCTCTCTTTGATTTACAGCACTTGGAGCTCAATAATGACGCGTCAACTATTAAGTTTGAGGTAAATTTCTGTCCCAACAAAACATGAGTTAAACTAATTAAACTCATCTATTTTTCTAAGGGCCGGTTTCTTTCTAAACTACTGTATTAAAAAATTATTTTTATCCAACTGTTTGGTATCCAGTGTTTCTAGTAAACTAGCTTGAATTTTTGACGCTATTAAAGGATATATAATCAAATTTCTTCTACCCAATATAACCTCCCTTGTTAGACTAAAAACTTAACTGGTAGAGGGGTAAAAGTAATTTTTTTTATTCTTTATTTTCATGTTTATTATATCTTTATATTTATTATCTGTTTCCACACCTCCTCCTCCTACTTTTTTAATTATTGATCATTGATTCATTATTAGTTCCCAGGTAATCTATTTCCCTGATACGCACAAGCAGAAATTTCGAGATTGATTCATGCCCAATGAAGTCTCAGATGATTAGCACCTGCATTGCTGCCACACTCAACTTAACAATCTGTTGGCACGTCAATGTGGGTTCTAATTACTGTAAGTCTGTAACACTAGAGTTTGATTCAACGTTCCCAGTTTCAACCACTGATGACTGTCTACTCTGCTCCACTAATCCCACAAAGAGTAGAGTAGGAATATCTTCTATTCATTACGCTCTCCAACAATTAATATGGCATCGCACTTCTGATCACGCTTAACTTCTCTGGAAAAGCTGAGAAACCTACAAGCCTTTAGAATTAGTAAACTCTGATGACCTCCTCCGTCCGTGGCAACATCCCATGTCCGATATTAGTATTACTCGCTCCTCATCTGCGATTCAAACTAATCTTGCTCAGCGGCCTCCATTCACTTCGTCAAGTTGCAATCGCCTCGCAGGTACATCAACCAGAGATCTCTAAAAAGCGTACGATCAAATCTCCTTGACAAGGAAATTTCAGTAGTGGGGACCATCCTCCACTGCTTCTTCCAATATTAAAGTACCGGTTGGATTAGGAAGAGATCTCCTGTCTCGGTACTAAATTTAAAAGCTCAAGAATCTTGATTAACTAACACCTCCAAAGATTAAACTAATACCTACTGCTTAGAACTGTCAACGAGATGAGCGAAAGGACAGAGATAGAGACAGACGCATAGAGATTAGAGACCCTCTTCTTAGCTGTCCAATTAATTCATAACCGCTTTTGCCTCGACATGTTTATCGCGAATCTCTGATACACAACGACCCTGGTTATCATGGTAAATACAATCGCACCGAGATTTCACCATTCTCGCCTCGCACTGACCTCGACTTCCTCAAGAAACTCACAAATTAGATGTTACTAAATTATTGGTAATGATGACAACAAAACTCGTGGTTCATTAAATTTAAAATTCTTGCTTTTCTTCCCCGAGAAAATTGTGCCTTTGCTATTACTGTTAATCTTTTCTCTGGCGGAGCGCTATTACTGTTATTATTCTTCTGCCAGAAGCTACAAGACACAATACAAACAACAACACTTCACTACAAAACAGAAACACAAAGACTCAACTCTCGGATTTAAAGTTATGTTTTGTCTTTTGTCTGGCCTCTAGAAAAACACAATTTACGTTCCTCTCTCCTCTCCTCTGCTTTTCCCGGCCTGCAGATCTATCAGGACGTACCAGGGACCGTGACAAATTAATATTGTCCACCAAGTTTCAATCTTGTGTCTTTTATGACTCTTTCTTCTTAACTTGATAAAGAAAATCTAAATAGTGGTCCTCGATGGGCAGACGCGAGGATTAAAACTCCTCTGTTTCAGATCAGCATTGTTCGATCTGAGAAATCCGGAGCCCGTGATTATTGCCGTAACCAGCTGTTTTCCTTCTCTTAATGTCCTTCTCTTGTCTCAGAGTAGAGGCAGCAATAGTGGTTCCGTTGGTTTTTTCGCTTTCTGAGCTCAGAAAATGATGGTCTAACACATTAATAGGTGTCTCCGAACTTGAAACCAAATCGAACGCAGACTCGCACCCCTCCATTGTTATGTCTTGTATCACATTATTGCACTTCAATATACTTTCCTGCATTGAAATCATAATACCCACTATTAACTTTAAATCAGATAAATTCCGTGTTTTCATGGAGTACGACCCATTTGACCTCACGAAAGTGAAACAGAAAAAGAAGGAGCAAAAAAATATAATCGAACGAAGGGCAAGATAAATACTTTATTTACGTATGCACAGTGGGATATTGCTCTTAGGAAGCACGGATACTGCAAAGGTAGCAATACTTGAGACGCAGAGAGGAGGGCTGATGCAGCAACTATTGAAGGCTTAAATTCCAAGAGCCTTATCTCTGCGAAACAGATGAGGATGATTATTCCAATAAAATCCAAATGAGAAATTTAAAAAAAAAAAAAACTCATTCTGATTCAGATGAGATCATCGCAGTATTGATTTGATTCACACCTCTTTGTGATCTGATTATAATTTCAGTGGCTCGATCTTTCAGAACCTGTCCCAGTTGCAGGTCCTTGAGTCTGAACAAAGCAATGAAGAAGGGAATGAAAGAGAAGGGAGTGATTGAACGCATTCGCCATTGTAGGGCTCCTAAGATAAGTGACTCCATTCTTCGTACTGTTCGCCGTTCGAAAATTATACCTCCCTCGCCCTGTTTCAGAAAGGTCTGGTTACAACACCTCTAACGAATAACAGTTCATTTTCCCTTGAAGGATCTTAGTTTCAGGCTTAACGTTTTCACCTGTATATCAGATACAGAAAACTCTGTTTTCATCATCTTGGCGGCTAGAGAGAGGCAAGAGACTGCTAGGAGCCTGTGGATCCATGACTTTGGTTGCTGTTAAAAACTAAAATTGAGTTAAAACTTGACAGATTCGAATTCAAAAGTCAGAAAAAGAAGCTCATGGTGTCATGAATGAGGAGAGCCGAAGAAAGTGATAATGCAATCGGTTTCCTCACCGAAATCCCTCGGTTGGCAAGAAAGCGATCCACATAGTTAACGGCTAGGTACGACAAGAGCGGATCACATGTGCAGGACAACTGAATGGGGAAAACAAGGGGATTATATTAACGTGTATGATGAAGATGTGATATCAGAAAGAAGCAAAGTTTTGACTGCGTACCTGGGAGATTGAAGAAATGACCTCTCTTCTAACAGTGATGTCGAAATCCCGGGACTTGAGAGTGTGGAAGTAGGTTTGGGGCGGGACGTGATCAGATTCGACGAGGAAGAGAGTAGAGGTGGGAGGGTCAGAGTGAAGGTCGTAAAAGCTTGAAAAAGGGTTTTCAAGGTCAAACGCCATGGATGAAGCAGTGGGAAGTCAATACTGAAATGGGGTGAGAAGAGAAGGAAGAGGAAGACGATAGGGCATTGGTGAAGAGATTCGGAAATTAGTAAAGGTAGAGAGGAGAGAGTGGGGGGAAGAGAGAAGGGCTAGGGGTAAGGGAAGTTGATGGAAGGAGCATTGATGAGAGCGTGGTGCAGAGTGTGAGTGAGAAATATGGAGAAGAGAGGGAAGATGGTCCCTTGCAGAGTGTCGATGGCTGCATGAGAGGATGATGATTTGCAAATGGCATCCCTGCATTGGTGGAACACCCGAAGCCTGTTTGACTTGTGGCATTTCACATTCCCTAATTTTCCATTTTACTCCATCTCAATGATTTCAGCCAAATTAAATTAAAATTATTTCACCCTTAGATATTGTTTTTTCAAAAGTAATAGTAAAAATTACACCTAGTTTTCATTGAGATCTTGTAAAATTTATAAAATATTTTTAAATTTTAAATTCAACACATTTATAATTTGACAAAAAATATTTACAATTGGACAATGGACAATTATAACTTACAAAAGAAAATAATAATTTATACTAACAGCAAAAAAAAATTCCAAAAACTTTCTATTGATTGTTTAAGAGTCCATGTTAGCATTTTTTATTTCATCAAATATAAGCTTTTTTATTTTTTATTTAAAAATACATATTAATATCAGTTTTACACATAATCACAAATTAATGATATTAATTAACATGATAGTATTATTAATACCATTTGTGCCACGTCAATATTCTTTTAAAAATGTAGGCACCAACATTGCAGATAAAGAAAAATTTTAGGACATGAAACACCGAAAAAAAAGATGCAGGGATATACTAAAACTTGAACAAAATATAAGAATCAAGAGTAGTGTTTTTTTTTAATACAAAAGATATTTCAATTAGAATATATGCATTAATTATATATTGTTAATTTATCTTCTACCTTGGTAATTGGTATTGCGTTTCGTAAAACAACTTCTGCAAAACTATCCGCACGATGCCAATTCAATGGTGACCACCAACTACCGAGATCTTTTCGTCCAAAAAAAGCAGACCACTGAGAAACTATGGGCAAGGCACTTTTAGAAGACACAAATATTACAAGTTACTTAATAGGATGTTAATTAATTTTTTAATATTATTTTTATTTTAAGTCAGTGAATAATAAGAGAGAATATAATGCAAAAAAATTCATTTAAATATAATTAAGTAAAATAAAAAATGTATTTTATTTTATGATAAAATTAAGGAAAAATATCATTCAACAACTACTGAAAAGATTTGATATCAATTAAGATTAAATTTTTTTTCAAATATCATCACGGACCATTAGACTATAATGCAATTAAAATTTAATATAAAAAGAAAAAGCTATCCCTCACACCGGTTTTTTTTTTAAATCCCTTATTATCATCAATGATTAGAGCTCCCAATTAATTCAAATTAATTTTTTAAGGTTTTATGGAACAAATGTTCACCCTATATCAACAATAAGCCATTTGAGTTTTAACAATAACCCATTCATGATTAACAAGTAATAACAGAAGTAATATTAGTAAAATAATAAGTGTCGTTAAGGAATTAACATGGTGTCATTTAAATTTTGATAACAACACATTCATGTAACAATATCTTAGCCACCTTGAAAAATTAATTCAAACAAGTTGTTGCTAGAGCTATGGCGGCCGGCGATGTGGCTTCGCTTGGGGCAATGGGGTTTCCACAGTCGGTGACAGAATTTTTTTAAAAAAATAAAATATGCATTTCAATCATAAATTTTATCTTTTCATCATAAATTTTAATTGCATTTCAATCTTCTAATTCTGCAGTGATATTTCAAAAATATCAAATTCTCAGTGGTCTTTAAATGATATTTTTCCTAAAATTAATGACTTAATCACAATTTATTAATTTTAGTGAACTTATAATAAACCGTGGTGGTTGACATATGTGTGTCGGGGGAGAGGGGAGTGGCGTATAATATTAAATTTCTTGGGAAATATGAGACCAACAAGTGGGGGCTAGAATGATCCTGCATATATACATGAGTTGTTAAAGAAAAAAGGAATAGGGACGTGTTTGAAATGCTGGCTGTATCACAACAAACAATGTAACTACTCGAAGTGTAAAAGGCTTTAAAATGGAGACCATCTATCTGCCCAATTAAATGGCTCCAAACATTACAATACAGCCTTTTTCTTCTTGACAGCTTGCATAAGTTGCATTCATGTCCTTGTATTCATTCAATGACAACCAACCCTCCCCCCCTTCTTCTTTCCCTCTCCATTGGATCCCCGGCTATATTAATGAGACTACCAATAAGACAAAATTCATAAACACTTTGAATATATAATTATGCTGCCATTTCCTTCCAATCAAAGCATCATTAACCTTTTATTTACTCAAACACTTGGAACCCAGTTAAGGATCTCCAACAAGTTGAACAAAATATGGTTCGGGGCGGTTTCATGTAAGTAACATTAAATAGCTCACAAAAATATCACTGGACATTTTATAGGGAAAAAAAAGATATATTCTAATTAACGGGAATATGTCCATTAAATATATGTGTTGGTGGGGGGGGGGAGTTGGCCGGGTCTCCGTGTACAGAACATATTGGCGGGTCATGCTTGCAATGTTTAACTGATGATTTTTACAAGTTTGTTTTATCTTTAAATATCAAATGTCATGATAATTTTAAATCGTTTTTAACAATTTTACATTGTTTTAAAAAGAAGATATATTAATTGTGCATTTTACCCACTATTACGTAATATTAATTGTATGACATTATTATTAGAGGCAAAACTAAAAAAATTGTCATGGTTTTATGTGCTTTTAATTAAATAATAAATTTTTATTGATATGTGAAATTTGATTAAAAACACTAATAATAATAATGTACTCATATAATAATAATATAATAGATAATAGATAATAGTAATGTTTCCGTGAAGTTAGGTAGTTTCTCATCCGTTCTTTTAACTTTCGAGCATACGTTCATGAACGTACAATTTTACATCATAAGCTTACATCACATAAATTGCGTCATGAAAACTCCAAAAAAAAAAAAAATCGCTTATTAGCATGCTCCATAAATTGAATTGTACTCGCGCATCAAGTTAAATAGGTTTGCAAATGTACTCGCATCAAATTAAATTACGAGATGCTAAATCTTGGTAAATTATACAAGTGTCGCACAGTACTTTGGTTGCAGGTGGCTGAGTAAATTTTGATTGCCAACCCCGTCAATTTAATTTAAACCAAATACGTGGGACCATCTGGGTACCGTCTTAACCCACTAGTCCAGACTCCAGACGACGAAGACACGTCCCTTTATGCATCACTAACTCTTAATGCCAGTTTAACATCACACGACACTGGCACATTCATTTTAGATACCTTCAAATTCACATGTGTGGTCGGCGGTGGTATCACAATGAGCTTAACCATATTCTTGTATCAGATCCTGCAGAATACAGTAGATCCATAACTACGATATTATCCAACTAAATAATAATAGCTGTCTGTGAGGAGAAGATCGAGACATACGCACATACGATCATTTTTAAAGCTCGATGATCTTCCTTTAAGCTTATGAGGGCATTAAAACCGCAGGTGAAAAATATATATGTGGAGTCATTGGGAAACCCAAAACTAAAAAATATTTGTCACGCAGCATGGGGTTCTCACGGAATGCAACCACCTTTGAAACCCATTTATTTATAACTTTGACATCATATCACTTTAGGCCGGGGTCGGAAACCCACATGCATGCCCTTTTATTTTAAGGACCGTAATACAAGATAATTTTAGCATAAGAACAAATAAACTTATTTTCACAGAAAGTAGGGGACTGGGAATATTGTAAGTTTTGGGTGATTTTTTGGCCCTTCAGTTCAGGGAAAAATAATGCGAATTCACATACCATAACTAAAAGGCATTATTGTCTCTGCATGTTAAGGATCACAATCAGCTGTGTTAGTCAAAATCATATGTATCCTAAAAGGTAATATATATATATATATATATATAGAGAGAGAGAGAGAGAGAGGGATTTTCTTGGTAAGCATTTACTTCTATTTTTTCCCTCCCCGGGGTTGGCACGTAACTTTTCGGTCTGAGGCAAAGAAGAATTAACTATAGTTCATGATTAGTACGAAAACAATAATTGAATCGAAATGCAGTAATTGACTGACTTTTGGGGAAAAATAGTGCCATTACATGGCATTTGTTCTTTTTAATTGATGTCTTAATCTGATTCTTCTGTTTTGTAGAGACTGCTTTAAGTCATAATTAATTACTATAGAATAAGTATAAAGTTATGCCTTCTGTCATCGCATCTTCTATAAATATATATTTTTTTGTCTTTAACATAAGACATGTGGTTGATTATTTATTATCATCTTTTAATTTCATCCCAATTATAAATTTAATTGCATGACTTATCGTACATTTTATATATCTTTCTCTCTTATTTTTAATAGAGATAAAACTAAAAAAAATTCATTTAAAAATATATTTAATGAGTTAAATTTCATTTCTTAGTTTCAATAAAATGGTTAATGGCATCTTATAATAGGGGAGGGAGTACATGGAACTTGAACTTCAAGAGTCCCAACTCTAATAGTTTTAGCCTTTTAGGATATAGTTGTGGTGGATGCTAATAAATCTTAAATATGTCCAGTTAATTAAGCACGTCGCCCTACGAAGATGCGCTGCTGGTAGGATTTCTTTTCATTTAAATAATCAACAAAAAGAAAAGCTAGTTTGAGATTCACTTAAATGGTTTTAAATTTAATTTGCACCTATTTGGTTACAAAATTACTGCAGCCTTGACTGCAAAATTACCATGCATATAACAAAATAGGAGGAGGCCTAGTAAAGATCAATTATCTAATTATTATTGAATTAATTAATACGATCCGCGTACGTGGCTTCGTTAGCCGAGAGGCTTTAGCTGGTAAATTATTAATCGGAACAATTTTCAAATTGGGATCTCCCCCCCCCCCCAAAAAAAAACCGCAATAAGACTCCATAGGATTCTTACTGATATAAGAACAGTCATCAATCTATTTGAACGATTAAATAAACCGAGCTTCTGATTATGGGGCCGGATAAGTTGTAATTAAAAGCTTGGGGGACATTAGGGCTACCATGTGTTTGGTTGAGCCACCACACTTCTAGATGCCATTGAAGAACGTTCCCATTCTTTGTAGTTCCTTGAAGCTTGCCCGATCTCTCCGGCGCAGATATTATATATCCATAACTACGTGTAGAATATATAGTTGTTGAGTAGCTCCCTTAGCTTTCTTTTCGGAGACTTGTATATAAGGGAAACCGGGGGCCAGGGCTAGCCTTGAAGCAAGAGAAAGCCAAAAAGTATTTATTTACATGTCTCAGCACAGTCTCACAGCCTTCCCATTTTGACTTTGATCTTTTGGTCTTCTGTTAAATGCCACGCACAAGAAGACAGACGACACTGAGTGTTGGAGAAGCGTAGGATTTTTAAGGCGTGGAAAAGAGTGGCACGCTCGGAATTATTAGTGTATTATATGAACGAAACGTGAGGAAGAATGAAAATACACCGAAAAACACAGAGCATGATGAGATTATGAAGAGATCGAAGAGTGAACGGTGCACGCCAAACCCCTCCATGCAGAAAACAACATCATTACATGCTTTGATTCTGTAATGGATTAAATAACCTGTCTCAATTATTTATCCATTGATATAATCATGAATTCCTCAAGTTTCCCTTTTCTAAAGTTCAACACATGCAGGGTTTACTGCTTTATGTTTATCTTTCATTAATCCATTATAATGAATTAATAATACAATGTACGAACTAGTATCCTCAGATCACTTCAACAGATTTCAGAAACTCTCCCTTCACTGGATCCAAATTTATTTTCAATGTGGATTTTCCCCCAAGGCATTAGAGGGGGTGGGGTCATATTTTTTTTCCTCCGTACTTTCTCTTTTATTTCCTCTAAACTATAAATTTGATAAGGATTTAATCCCTTGAAGTTGGTACTACAAATCTATGTGATGTTTTCCTTTTTTTCTCTAGTATTTTTCCTCATTTTAGCATCTTTTGTAAAATATAAAATATTTTCTTTGTTCCTTAAAAAATAAACATTACAGAAATTTATAGATTCCAACTTCACATGATTTAAATTTATTTTGTATTAAAAAAAATCTAAGAGCCCATGTATTTGCGTAAATATAATGCTGTCCTGGTTTCACTCCGTTTTCCTCCTTTTTGGACAGACTGTAATATCCCCAAAAAAATAAGGGGGTCAGAGAAATTTTCAAGAACCCTGAAATATCTCACAACAAAGGGTATCAAACATTGAAGGTTTGATCCTATAATTTACAACTTTTTCCATCAAATCTCTAAAACCTTACATTTACAACTTTGCCCATCAAATCTCAATGCACTAGACGGCCTAGACTATAATTGAAAAGATTTGTTGCCTTTTTTTTAGGACCTTTTTTTAATATTTACAGACTGTAATATAGAACGAAAAGAAAATAATAATATGGATAAAAAACCATGGCATTCTTAATGTTAGTACAAGGTATGAAAATGGTATAAAAAATTATTGAATAATATTTATAACTGTACAACAAACCTTTGAATTTTTTTTTTTCAATTAACATATCAAATATACTTTCTATTGTTGTAAAATTCACAGTTCACCGTTTTTTTGTATAAAAAAAATCTCATTATAATTTTTGGTTTTATGATTAGGGAAAAAAGTGCTCTAAGGAACTGTTTCTTTACTTTTTAGTTATTAAAGTAAGCTTAAGAACGCGCCAAGAACTCGGTGATAATGCTCTAACCAAAATAATAATAATAATAATAATAATAATAAAGTACTCATTCGTTTAAAAATATAAGATATTTTTTGTGAAGTTGAATGTTAAAAAATATAAGGCATTTTTAATCTCTTTGAGATGTAATTGTCTTTTTTTTCAAAAATATTCTTATTAATAATGATTTTATATTTATTATAAAGTATTTAATAAAAATAAATATAAAAAGATATGATTAGTTAAAAAATAAATAATATTTTATTAAAAATAAAATTTATTAAAAATATTTTATATTTTTAAATAAATGGAGTAATTTTTTTTTTTAATAAGTTGAAGAACGCAAAAGAAAAGTGAAGCGTGCCTGCTTTGCGCTAAATGGTCCCGCATGACTTTAAGAGAGGCGTCGAGGAATGAGGATCCACACAAGATTTAATGTCTTTGCCCCTACAAGCGAGAGTCCGTGCGCGCGCGCGCGCGCGCAGTCACATATCACTGTCAAGGCCCAGCAATAACAGAGGCCCAAATTATTAATCTGTTAAATAACCTAATCTCATATTGTGGCTAATCTTACCCTACAACAATGATGGATCCAGAAAAATTAATCAATGGGAGCAAAGATCATATTTAAAATAAATATTATTCCTTCACTTAAAAATATAAGATATTTTTAATTTTTTAAAGTGTAGTCTTTTTTTTAAAAGTGTTCTTATTGAATAAATCATTTTATATTTGTTTTAAGGTGAAACACCCTACTAAATAGGAGTAAATGTAAAAAGATAGGGTTGGTTTAGAAATAAATAACCATTTTATTAAGGGTGAGATTCTGTTAAAAATACCTTACATTTTTTAATGGAGGGAGTAATTTTTTTGGGCCTTTTGCAAATATAACTCATGTTATAGAACCAAATCAATCAAACAACCCAACAGTTATTATATTTTATAGTATGGCTGGTTTATTATATCTATTAATGATATATTAATGTATATTAATGATAAACTCCTTATAAATTTTTAAATTTTCAATGACAAATTCATTGTATATAATAATAAACTTTTTATATATTAATGTGAACTGGTTATACTCTTAAAGTTTTAAAAAATTAATCCATATTTTTTGGACACAAGATTTTTTTTGAGTCAGCAGGCTAATTTATCCTATTTTTAAAATATAATATTTTAAAATTTATTTTTTAAATTGTTGTTTCCTCCATTCTAAAGCTATTTTTATTTAAAAGTTTATGAATTAGATAAATTTTAGGGAGAGGAGTGAAAGATTTTAAGAGGCATCATTTTTTTAGGGTGAGGGCAATAGTAAATTTTTAGGGGGTGCTAATTGGACTTTGCCAAGGCATAATTTTTAGTTTTTGTTTTTATCTAGGGGGGGCATTTGCACACTCTATAATGCATGCAGGCCCCCCTGCCCTACTGGATTATCTCTCAATCATGTTGTTGGTAACAAATCTTGGCTTCCGCTTCTCTGTCCCCTGAAACGCTCACGTGTAAAAGTCTTAGAACGCATCGATCTACTCTAATGCCCACTCTTGCCGCTTCGAGTTTCACATAAGGCTCTTGTCTAAACTTGCCAATTTTTTCATTCCTGTCGCTTCTTTCCTTATAGATTCTGACACTCCATTGAAATGAAAACGAACTTCTGACCAGCTTACAGTTCCAACCTTATTTACTTTGTGTCTTCCTCTTATTAACATGAAAATTCTTTCTCTCTCTACACAGCAGGTCTCACAGAAATGAATTTCTTTGCCATCTCATTGTTACGCGAGCCATGGAGGGGGTGTTATGAAGAACTGCATTCATTTGCCGCTGTTATTTAATTTACGGCCATATCATTTAAACTTGTTCTAATTTGTTTCGTTAGAAACAAGGCTGCCTTCAGTTTTTTCAATCTCTGTCTTCGTTTCTCATAATTTGTTCTGATGGGCAGTCTCTGGCATTGGCGCATTATGTAACATATGATAGGAATTATTTTCTCTGTCTGTTCTCACTGAACTCCTTCATGGTTCGCCAATCGGCCATCATTTGCAGAGCAGTCAGCAGAATCAACTCGCCGCAATCTGTTATTTTTTGGGTCCAAAAGACTCGCCATAATGAAAATGGAAATGTATGGCACAGTACAAATGAATTGGACTAAAAATAGAAACTGCTAGTATATTGTATATATTTAACCAAACAATATATTCGCCTCACTTCCATGCACACCGCAAAATGAGTTTAAAGAACAAATAGATCGGGCATTTACTCCTTCCCTATCCACAAATTCCAAAGGTGAACTTAAGGCAACGATGTAACACCTAAAAAAATTTAACTACGTTACAAACAGCTAGTCTTAGCACTCGTTCCGTCTAAAAAGAAAAGCATTCTGGGAACTCTCTTACAGAGAAGGATAATCTAGTTTGCATGCTGCATTTTCTAATTACAGATTCAGCCTCATCACTTGAGATCAAATGAACAAATTCTGATCCCCCTACAACGTCTGCGAATCTCTCATCAGGACATGCCTGCTCGGAGAAACACTTTGTACAGAGGAAGCTCTTGGCAAGGTTTCTTTTTTCCTCCTCCTGTTGAAATTGGCGCTGTCCTGAATTTGGATTAAAGCGGAACCTTAAGACCTCGAATTTGATTAGTTTGGAAAGCATCTCGATTCTTCCTCACCGGGGTTTCAATGCACTGAGGTTCTGTCAGATTCTCGTGGAACTTGATTGAAGAGAAGCGTCCACGGCAGTCATGGTCAACGAAATAACACCAACTCGTCTTGAGGTCTCAAACCAGAATTCAGATATATGATTACTGCTTCAGAATGAAAAACACACAATGAGTACATTTTTTTTTCACACGCAATGGCTAACATTTTCAGGGAAAACATACTGCAATTGTGTTTTGCTGGCTTCTTGGCAATGGGTGTCTTTTCTCATGGAACAGTATGCTTACAATAGAAGATTATTATAGCTACTTGTTTCCGGTAATTACTTTAAACATTAAACTTTCCGAAGTGTATAATTCAATAACTCTATCCTCCTTTTTGTTAAGGGATAATGCAGATGCTGTCATTCTCTGAATGAAAGGCATTTTACATGACGTAATTTTCTCTCCTGTTACTGTCAAATAGCTTTATTGTCTTATGCTTATACAGAACTACCACTCCTCTCGGGTGCTTACTCTCGTATATCAACCATTTGCAATTACAACACTCGCAATACTGACATATTACGAGGCAACAATGAATACTAGAAAACGGAACCTACAGGGATATACTCTATTTTTCATAAGTTGTCTGGCGGTGTTAATCGTAAGTCGTCTCCATTTGTTTGTAATGTTTCCTCTGGGATGGTTTTGACACTTTTGCTTTCCTTTCTAATTTGTGCACAGTTGGATTTAGCAACGTCTGGTAAAGGAGGCCTAGGAACATTCATCGGTATATGCGTAATTAGTGGAGCATTTGGGATTGCAGATGCCCATGTGCAAGGTGGAATGGTCGGAGACCTTTCTTACATGCACCCCAACTTCATGCAGGTCAGCATCAGTTCGTCGTAAAAATATGTCAATAAAAGAAGACTGAATTGATTCTATGTGTTCATTTCATCATATGCAGTTTATTTTATAATTCCTTTCTCTTATGTTGCAGTCTTTCTTTGCTGGTTTGGCAGCATCAGGTTTTCTAACATCTACTTTGAGGCTAATTACTAAGGCGGCTTTTGAGAATTCGAAAGATGGTCTCAGAAAAGGAGCCAGTGCGTTCAACTCTTTAATATATATCTATCAGAAGCCAAAGGCTTTCTTAATGATCATCCCCATCTATTACTACTACTAATTAATAACTTTGACTGTTTGCAGTTTTATTCTTTACAATATCAGCATTGTTTGAGTTACTTTGTGTTGTTCTCTATGCGTTTGCCTTTCCTAAGCTACCAATTGTGAAGTACTACCGTTCAAAAGCAGCATCAGAGGGTTCCAAGACTGTTTCGGCTGATCTGGCAGCCGGAGGCATCCAGGCATTAACTGAAAAACAAGTCAGCGTTTCTTATTCTTTCTGATCTTTGAACCAATAAGTACTTCGCTGATCTCCAGATACAGTTCATAAGAAAAGGGAGGTTTCTGCAGGTTGACGAATACGGAAACCTTACAGAGAGGAAAGGAAACAAACAACTATTGAAAGAAAACATTGATTATGCGGTTGATATATTCCTCATATATGTTCTAACACTCTCTATTTTTCCTGGATTCTTGTCAGAAGATACTGGATGGCATAGTCTGGGAACATGGTATGTTCATCAAGATTCACAACAAGGTCGCTGTTCCTAGTTTGGCCTGAAGATATAACTAGAGACACTTGCCATTGTTTCAGGTATGCCCTAGTTCTGATTGCAATGTATAACGTGTGGGATCTGATAGGAAGATACATTCCACTAGTGAAAGTGCTCAAGTTGGAGTCCAGGAAGTTGCTGATGATGGCAAGTGTAGGTCGTTTCTTACTGGTGCCAGCGTTTTATTTTACCGCAAAATATGGTGACCAGGGCTGGATGATAATGCTAACATCTGTGTTGGGGCTAACCAATGGCTATCTCACTGTTTGTGTCATGACTTCGGCACCAAAAGGTTACAAGGTAGTCAGCTTATAATTAAGCATAGGGAAATGAACGTTCAAGTGGGTCATGATTATATGATTGAAGTGTTACAAGGGTTATATCAAGTAATAATGTGAATTTTTTCTTTCTTTCTTTCTTTTTGGTAGGGGCCAGAACAAAATGCGTTAGGGAACTTGTTGGTATTGTGTCTTATAGGAGGTATATTTTCAGGGGTTGTACTTGACTGGTTATGGTTGATAGGTAAAGGTTGGTGACTTCACAGCCGAGCCAACTATACTGTAGTCTGATTTGATTTCTTGAGTTCTACGTGATCAAGTTTTGTTACTGTTAACATGGGTAGAAAATAGTTGCAAACACAATACTTCTTCTCTCTCCCTCCGTTTTTTTTTTTTTTTAAATCAAGAGCTAACCAGAGGAGCATGAAACATTTTTTATTGGATAAAGCAACAAATCTTTTCGCTACATTATTATTTAATTGTCATGTTATAAAAGATTATAACATAGGTTGCTTTATTTCACACGAATTAAGTATTTAAACTTAATTACCAAAAAAATTGTACTAAAATTTCACACACACACACTAATCAGGCTAACAAAAGCCAATTTTTTTTTTTTAAAAAAGGACATTGGAAGACCTTAACTTGAAAAGAAAGTCATAATGAGCCCAGCAATGCGGCATCGGCTTGCAAAAATTGTAACATCATTATAAGTCATGATAAGATTCAAAAGTTTCATTTACGACGCACAGTTAGAAGTTCATAAGGAATTATACAAGGCGGCAACAGACGTTATAAAAAATAAGTTCAGCTATAAAACTTGCACAATGTCATTGTATTTTATTAATCAAATATCACGTTCAATAACTTTTTGTTTGTTTTAATTTCTTGTTCTCCCTCTACATCTTTTTAAAAATAGATATAATTTATATGTTATAAAATTTAATAATATTGAAAATTATGCAAAATATGAGATGCATAAGCAGCATGGCATATCATTAAAAGAGACGACGGGCGATGTAATCATACAATGATGTTTTTTGTGAATGTATGATGCTTCAATCATTTAAAAAGCAGTAGCAAAACAAAAATCTTTGACAACAGCAACATGCATGTCGCCATCCTGAGTGAGGAATCTGAAGCCCATTTTGGCATAAGATGGACGTGGTCCTGGGTTGTGGAGCCTACCAGACTAATTTTGTTTTTTTAGGTCTATGTATTGGGTGTGAAGGGCTTCCTCTTCACTAGATTAAATAATTGACCTTTTTAACAAGAGATCATGAAGGCAACAAGGTAATTCGTGCCTGTAACACCACCGATTGTGAAGCTCATATTGTGAAGTTAGCCGTGTTGAAGCATTAACAAAACTCTACACTCAGTGTAAAGGGTTCATGCCACGTGTTAAATTTGGACCCAAATATTTTTTGATCGAGCCTTAAGGGTTCAAGGTACTAAAAATAAGAGATACAAGATTGTATTTTTTCTATATTGCATATGTAATTTTCCCCATTTGAGTGGATGTCCCCCTGCCTCTCCTCACATCAACCTTGTTCCGCTACTGTCTACAATTTTCTTTAAATTTCTTCTAATAAGTGAAAAATGGAGTTAAGAGAATAGCAAAAACAGTTTCATTTAAGAACTTCCAGCGATTGTTGAAATTATAGAGAAGAACGATATTTTAAATGGACAAAGATGGTTAGCAACGTAATTCAGTTGCAAATCTTGAAAGCTTGGCTGTGAATCCCAAAAGTCAAATTGCACATCTCAAAACATCAATTGAAAATCAGTTGTAAATTATAGAAGCTTCGTAAATCTTGAAAGATTACTTCTAAATTCTGGAAGCTCAAATCTAAATCACGGAAAATTAATTACAAATCAGTTGTAATTTGTGGATTATATTCGGACATTTAATGAGTTAACGAATTGATCTTTTTGTTTTCAAAACTAGGTCTCTTAGCTTTTATAATTAAGCTTTTGAAGTCTACAAAACTTTCATGATTCATGACTAACTGATTTAGAACTGTTTTGTCAATATGTGTAATTGAGCTTCTAATATTCAAAGCTGACGTTGTAATATTTACAAAATTTTCTATAGCTTACAATTTGTTCTGCAAATCATTTTCCAAGATTCACAACCGAGCTTCTGCAAGTTGCAATTAATCTTCTAATATTTATAGCTATGTAAAATCATGTTCATCCATTTACATTTTTAAAAACTTTGATTCTTCTTTGTGATTTCACAAAATGGTGGGCCCTACTTCCAAATGTCACTTCTCGTGCATACGCAGTTTCAAATGTTGTTGGACAAAATAAGACATGACAGATTAAGAACACTTTATTTAATCATCGCAAGAGAGCCGTTAGGATGATGATGAAACTGAAATTCAAGAAATATTGCATTTAAAAAGGTGCCTTGGCAGCATGATAATTGAAGTTGAGAATTGACGGCGTGTTAATTATCTTAGTGAGCCCTGATGAGGAAGAAAACAATTAAAAATTACTCCGAAAATAAGAGTGATTATTAGTTTAACATTCAATTGGACGACATACATTCAACCGCAATTGTCTCCTCTAAACTTTTAGCCGCCTTATTATATATCATCGAGATTCCAAACTTAAACTCTGTTCCTGTATTGTTACCCTGGTTGACTTTTTACCCCCCACATGTATAACTAGTCCCGTGAAATACATGTACAAATGCTGGAATCCGAGTCATGGCTTAAATCTTAACCCTTATTTTACTCCTTAAAAGCTTCGGTTCGCACATTCTTAAGCAACACGACCAACATACTCATCTCTGGGAAGTTGTTCCACAAATTGGCCACCGTTTTAATTCAAATTAATTATATATTATACTACTCTAAATTATTGATCACTATTCCATAAACACTCATGTTATTCTATTGAAACCCTGCATCCAATTTTAATCGATAATCGGCATGCAAGGACCTTGACAACTATGAAGCACTATTCAGTTTCAAACTAATTAAAGTAGGAATGGTGATTTTATATATATTTTAGTAAAGCAAAAGAATTAGCAAAATGGGAGCAGCTAAGCCAAGAAATGCTCGCGCCCATATACAGACACATCTTATCTATCTGGAAAGGAGGAAGAGCAATGTACAGAAGAACAAAACGACAAAAAGTCCATCCAAAACGGTGGTGTTATACATCCACGTGACCCCGACAGATCCCACCAAGAAACAGTGCGGAACGCAGCAGAGCATCCCACCAACTGTACCCCTAAACCAGAGGGCACACGAGAATGATGAACAGCAGAAGAAGCGTGACCCCGAGATTCAACGGCGACGATGGCGCCTCGCCCTTCTCGAACTGCAGCGAATCAACGGCCAGAGGCATGTTCTCCTGGTCCGGACTACACTTGGATTCGTGTGGGTGCGCGCTGTACATTATGGCCCTCAACACCGCCGATACCGTCGGTATGTACACCGTCTTGTTCCTCGCCAGCAGCCACGTCAGCCCCATCAGCTGGCAGTCCCGGTTGAACATCTTGCTCGCCCTGTCTCCCCCTCCGTTCTTAGTCCCGTTCCTATTCCCTTTCAGCTGTCACGTAAAAACACATTCTTGAGCACAAATTTACTAACTTCAGCACGTAAAAGTTATATATGATGACAAGAAGTTCCAGGTTCGTCTGAACATATCACCACAGTATTGGGGTAAAAAGAGTACCTTTTGAAGGGCATTGAGGCATCTGGTGCAACCAGCATAGGAAGAGTTGCGACAATTCTTCTCTAAATTCTTCACGGCAGAAGTTGGGGTGGCCATGTGGGTCCCGGAGGAGTTGCCGTTGTGGACTCCGGAGACGTTAAAGGCGGCAGGGCAGCTGAGAGAGGTGATCTGGTGAAGCCGAATGCCGCAAAAGCAGAGGACGGCGTCGCAGGTGGCGTTGGGCTGCGGAATCCGAATGTTGCGACTCGTGAGCGAGTCTTGGAGCGAGTTTACGCACTTCTGGGAGTCGTCTGGCATCATTGGAAGAAGGTCGCCACCGGATGCGGAAGCCGGAGCCGGAGCCGGCACCTCCAGGGCCGACCGGGCGTGAGCCGCAAAGAGCCAAGCGGCTAGAACCGGACAGCAGCGGCTGCGGTCGAGGTTCTTGCCGCAAGCGTCACTGACGCCGCCGAACAACTCCTTGGAGAGGTCGAGACGGCAGGTGGGGGTCTGGGTCTGAACCGGGAAAGCGGGAACGGTCACCGGTTCAGCGAGAAGGCCAGCGAAGGAAACGGGTAATGTAGAGAAGAGGAGGAGAGAGATGAGAGAGGAGATGAATGATTGCATATTTTGAACTTTTTGAACGGCACAGGTGTTGACTGATGGAAGATATAGTAAGAAGAAAGCGAAGAGGTTGGAGGCGTTGTGTGGGAATGGAGAAAAATGAGGGTACAGGAAAGTGAGAGTGAGGAAAAAGAGAGGAAGATAATTGGGAGGTAGTGGAGAAAGCAGGGGGCAAGGGCGCACGGTGCCTAGGCTTTTTATCCTCAGAGAAAGATGAAAAGCAAAGAGGAAAAAAAGATTCTGTAAGATATTCAAAAAGTATATGAGGATGAAGTAAATCAGTAAAATCAAAAGGGGTCAGTTTTATTTGGATCAGGGAATGGTAATCATGAATGGTTCAAAGAAGCTTGAACAAAGGTAAAGTCGATAAGCATGGAGGTCTAGTGTTGGCGCGTTGCTGGGTCTGCGTTTAACAGGTTCCATTAGAATGTCGCATAATAATAGTGGCATAAACTATACGTTTTGTTGGTAAAATATCTCATCTCTGCAATCTACTCCATAACTCCTATCCAATCCGTTCAGCATGTATCAAAAATTAAATTGAAAGCCCCAGCATTTTCCTTTCCTTTTCCATTTCATATCGACGAAATTAAAAGTGGTTTCCCTTCTTACAAGAAAATGGAATTATTCGAGGAGAAAAAGGGAAAATGAGGCGCACATAAAATAGCAAAAAACAACGAAAACGATATGGGAGCAAGCTAGAAGAATATGGGTTCCGTCACAAATTCAATGTATCCAGGTTTCACTAAGAACATGGGTTCCGTCACAAATTCAATGTATCCAGGTTTCACTGAGAACTTTGATCATCAGTTTAGCCATAACTTGAACGTGTTTCCATTCTGATTGGATACTCATACAAACAAGCTATTATTATTCTACCAATACTATTTTCTCGGCTTCACTTGGAGGTTGTGGGGGTGGGCATAAAATATGCATAGTGCGAACAGTAGACTTTATTGACATAAAATATATTAAGGTGCAAAAGTAAGGCATGAAAGTTGTAATAGGCTTTGTAGAGAAAAGATCAAAAGCGCTAGGTATTGGCATGTCAAGTGCTTGATGTCCTTGACCTCTTTTGATTTTCTTTATTTACATTCTCAAAATACTTTGCACACATGATTAAATCAGCAAGTTCATTTGAGAAGGGCAAGTGATGTGTTGATCAAGCGAACAATAAAAGTCGGGTTTAAAAATTTTATTTAGATAAAGATTTGAGTTTAAAAAATTAATGGTGGCCTTTCAAATTCTATTCTCCAAAAAAAAATCAATAATTTTTTAAGTATTGTATTATTAAAATAATTAATATTGATTCTTTTATCATTTATTTTAACATGATATTGATGGTTTTTTATTAATTTCTTAAATATGATTATTTGTAAAGTTTATTTTTTAATTTTGATTAATGTTGTGCTTTATAATATCCAAATTTTTATATTTAACGAATTTGATAAGATTGATTTGGATTATAAAATTTTTTTTTTATTTTAAAACTTAATTAAAATTTTATATTATTCATTTATTTTATCATATTTTTTATTTTTTATTTTTTAAAAATAAAATGAATTTATGGCCGACCCAAGAACCGGTCCCGCCTATTTTCCTTCCCCGTATGTGTAAAGATTCTGTCTGGAACACAAACACGTCGAGGAGGACACAGAGGGGTATTGACAAGAAAGGGGTCTGTGAGAGTCTGGCAGCTTGCGATGTTCATTGTTCTAATCCGCATCGTCTCTGTGATCTCATTTGTCTGTTTGCTTCCTTCTTTTACCGGAAGTGCGCCGATGTGTGCGCCATTAGAAGTTTAAATATAGTCATTAGCGGTTTTTTTTTTTTCAATATAACCATTACTGTTTTTCTTTGATTAAATCAAGTTTGAACACTAGCCGAACTAGGATCTTTACATATGTGGGTGCAAAATATTAAAAATTTTACAAACACAAATGCAAAATATTTAAATATTTAAAAAAATGAGCGGTGCATTTGCGCCCATCACACTAATGTGTCTCCTCCTTTGTGAGTTAAAGCATTATTGAGTTTCAGTAAAAGTATTTTCTTTATAAATATTTTTTATATTTACAGAGACTCAAATTGAAAATTTTATATTTAAATGACAATAGTAATGCCTGTGATTTTATTTAGGATCAGTTTGAGAACCTAACTTTTTAACTTTTAAAAAGTGTTTTTGGCACTTTGTGACTATTAAAAATTGTTGGGGTATATATAAATATATTTTGAAAAAGTTATTGAATGTAAATTTATTCAATTTGATTTCAAACATGGTCTATTAATTGTTAATATGATCATGTTACCCTTAATTTTTATATAAAAAAATTGCAAGTAATTTTTTAACACATTACATGTATAAATAAATGTGGAGTGGGATTTGGTTGAAATGTGAATTTACTAACTCTATTTTTTTATGGATTTGAAATTACAAATGAGAATTGAGTTATACCTACTTTAATAAATGATCATAATACTTTTATTATATTTTAGTTTTTTTTTCAAAGTTAAACCATATATTTATTATTATTATTATTATTATTTAACATATTAAATTTTATGTTATTTTAATTTTTTTACATTTTTAAATAATTTTTAATATATTATTTGTATAACAAAAATTATCAATTATTATAAATCAATTTTTTTTTATTATATATTTAAAAGTATATTTTAAAAGTAAAAATTATCATTGATTCAAATAATTCATAAAACTGACTTTTAAAAAAATATTTAAACATAAATTTTATTATAATAATTAAATTTTATTAAATAAATTTTTAATAAATTAAAAATTAAACACACACTCAATCAAGACATATGGTCTGTGTTTTCTAATTCGTTATCTACAAATCATGTTATTATGGCTTTAAAATTTTATTCGTTAATATATTGGTGGGTTGCCCTAAAATTTTTTAAATTTAACATTTTTTTCCTGGTGATATGTATCTTCAGTCTTTGGATGCCGTGATCGTCTGGCTTTTGCAGTTGCCAGCCCCTTCTTGGCACAGACGGAGATTTTCCCCTTTTACTCCCCTTTTATCAGAGATTTTATTAACCAATCAATCAATCAATAATAATAATAACAGTAGATATAAACGTTGGCAAACAAAAAAAAAAGATATAAATTCTGAGTCAAGTAAGGTAAACAAATTAAAGTAAAAACTATATACCTTTTGTCAATTGTCATGGCTTAAAAAATATCTAATGATGAAATATAAAAATCATATATAAGCATTTCAATAGCAATTTAACTAAGATCTAGAATTTGACAAAAAAGCTTGGCAGTTTTTAGTTCTGCACAGCATGATGCTTATTATTAATTTTCATTTAAAATCAAATCAAAATAGGGTAGAGTAACAAAATGCAGCTGACTTTTTGTCGACATGAATTGATAAAATGCCCATCATTTGTTATACTTGGTCTTATACGAACAAGTGGTCTTGTGCAAGGAGATAAAGTTGCACAGAGCTTCGAATCGTCAAAGTGATATTACCCTTTACAAAATTAATGAAAGAGATTTTAATGGTGCGAAAATTCATACTCTCGAAGCAAAGGTAATACACACAGTGGTGAATCATTTGAAATTCAACATCAGCAGTATAGCAAGTAAAATCAAACGTGAGGCAGTCTCCAGATGGGTGTGAAGCATGAAGTGGCCACTCTCGATGGGTTCCTGTGAGGGAGGGTTTGGCCTTCATAGGTGGGTGAAACACACAGCGAGAGAGCTCAGCGTTTGAAGCCAGGGACAAAAAAACCTGTAACAAGAATCCAAAGCCAGGATTCATTTGGCTGTATTGTATTCTATTTTCACAAGGACGCCAACCAAGACAGTGCCGAGTGGGGTTAGATTCAGCCACGTACGACACCCATGTAAGAGGTGAATGTATGGGCCTTGTTGAAAGATAAGCAGAAAGCGTCCATAAAAAAACAAAAGGAGGGAGCTTTGTAAAAAGCTTCCAACAGCTTTGAGACTTAAGTAAAGTTCATTTTTTTTCTTATTTATTCATGCCCTCATCCTTCTTTCTCTGCCCCCAATAATTCAGTTTCTGTGGGCCCCCCTTTCAAATAATGTGTCCTTGAAAAAGAAGCGCCGTCCCCTCCCTCCAGCTTTTGCTCCGTCCATTTCACCGGCTCACCCTCTTAGGATTAGGTTTTCAAAAGGCATTGGTTAGGTTAGGGTTAGTGACCTCCTTGGTAATTGTGCTCACGCACACACATTACACTTTTTTAAATTAAAAGATAATTATGTATTTTTGTCACTAAAATATTATCTTAACAGTACCCAGTAATCTACAATATTTGTTGGAGTATTTTCAGTCCTAAAACAAATAAATTCAACCATCATCTATCCTGCCATTAAAGTTGCACAAACATCCGTTGTAAAAAAGCTGATTTAGACTGAATTCTAACATAATGGTCATTTGTGGGAATTTAACATGGGATAGAGGATGTTTCAATTTAATTATTTTAAAAAAATACTTTAATAAATACTTTAAGATATTGATGCTCCTCAAGAAATATCTCAAAAGCAAAAAACATGTTTATCCTAAATTAAAATACACTTTCTATTATATTTTACGTTCTAATTAAAATAATTAATTCTTTACAATTTTGAAAGAAATGACATTTTTTTTCTTTTTTTTCTTTTTTTTTACTCTTGACCCTTTTGTCATGAAGAGAAGGAGTGTTTGGATGTAATTATATTTATCATGCCTTCGTTAATTAATCCAAAAGTAAAATTTAAAATATAATTTTAAAAATATTAGGTGTCTTACATTTCAGATCAAATTTAATTAAAAAATATTTTATAATTTGGATGAAAGAAAATATATACATACCCTCCCATGTGCTAAATGTAAAATGCATTTAACTGCACCACTAAAATTAAAAAGAGATAGTTGAATTATCAAGATAATTGAAAATAAAATCTATCTTTTTTGGTGTAAATAAAATATATTTCTAAATTCACGGTTTTATGTAAAATGATCAATATACAGAAGTTAATAATATATGGAACGAGGGGTGTGTATATTAATAATTAATAGTAAAAAGTAAAAAGTAGGAGCGAAAAAGGTGCAATCACGGCGTAAAGAATCGAGCCTTTCGGGGTCCCAATTGTAGACTTCCTGTCTTCTTACCGTTCACTGTTTTTCGATTTTGCTTCTTCTCCTGCTTCCTCCGTTTTTCACATTTTGGCTGCAGCGTTACGCTTACGCAGGTCACTCAATGCCATTCTTGATCAGTCAAGTTGGATGGAGAGGGGACACTTTCACGAGTTAGATATGAGATTTTCTCCGGGCGAGGAGAA